GCTCCCACTAAAGTACATATGGCCTCAGCCCACCACCATGGTGTGCAGGGCTGCCCAGGCAGTGGGGAGCTGGAACAACCTCCTGCTGATCCCAGAGGGTGGAGGGACCATGCAGACACCGGGGCTGGAAGAACCAGGCTGCCAAGGAGCAAGTAGATGCAGGGGAGAGAAAGGGAATGTGTGGGAGAGAAAGGACAATTCAGCCAGAAGAGACTGAAGAACAAAAAGTATAAAGCAATTAACTGTGCTGGCAGGTCTGGGGAGAAAGCCTGGAAAAAGACATCTTTTCCTTCTTCTAGCCACTCTCCAAGTGAGATTTTTCTTGGCTACCTAAAAAGGTTGGTTTGGGATGTCAGAATAAAAAAAAAAAAAAAAAAAATCAGCATTGCATTTTCAAAAGCCATTTTCCGACAAGCAGCACCTCTATCCTTTCACTGATACAAGCCCTGCCATTTTAGGTGGGACGAGCTCTGTCAAACACTGTGACAAGACACCCATCAATCTGTACAAACACGTTCAGAGAGTCTTGCCCTGGTACATACAAGCACCTGAGCAGCATCCATGCAGGAAAGCCGAAGCTGCTTTTAGCAGCCCCAGGAAAACTCTCTCCTCTCGCCATGCTGCCAGCACTGAGCAGGAGCCGGGAATGTCACATCAACAGACTCTGAGGCCTGTGCCTCAGCTCTGCAGAATTAGGTACCTTAATAGCTTCAGCTTAATCACTTCTGTTCCACAGCTAAAAGGCAAAGCCATTCCCTTCTGAGAGCGAATCACTGATAGGCAGCAAAGGCAGCAGAAATCCCACCAGCCTAGTGGGCACTACCCCCAGAGGAGGTGGTGCTGAAAGGGCCTTCCAGGCTATGGTCCATAAATAACCTAAGAGAGGAGGGGAACAAGCAGGGAATTGGCCTGTTCTGAAAGTTACAGATGAATTTTGATAGAGATATGACAAATCAGGTTAATTAAGTAGACAGTACCACTATCAGGAGAGCAGAATGGGTTACTTCTCTTGCAGAGTTAAAATTGCAGATCCAGATTTGTCAGCAGCGGCTGCAAGACACCACCAGCTGCCAACTCTTCATCCCAGGGTAATTAGCTAATTGGTGGCTCTGGTCAGTTGATCAGGAACTGCCTCTGTGCAAGACAACAATCCCTGGCTCTGCTGCAGCCCTGCCGGCCCAGGACACATCATCTTCCTCAACAAACCCAAGAAACCCTGTTCAGAAGGCAGGCGTTTGGGGTATCAGTCCCGGGGACAGGACAGCACAATTCATTCCCTGCTCACAGCACCACGTGAAGCCTCCCTCAGTCTCCCAGGCTCAGCTTTGGCTCTTGGCCCTCTGATCCCTGAATACAAGTTTTCCTCCCAGCCTACAAACAAGTATTAAACCAGCATTAAAAAACTCAGCAGTGTCTCTCTCTAACCAAACACATGGTTCTTCCATAATTCAGCACAGAACAGAAAATTCACCTTTGCTGTATCCCCATATCCAGTGTCCCCATATCACACCTCTCCATTATTTTTCCAGATCAGTCAGGGATACAGAACTGCTGACAAGGCAGTGAGCCACCACTCCTGCTATCACTGGAGAGGGAATCCTAAATCGCTATCTGCATAACATAGGAAATTTTGATTTGCAGCCCCATCCATCTCTGCTCCTGATGGACGGTGCCTGCACGTGTACCGTCGACAAAGTCCAAATACTCAAACTTCATCTTCATTTTTGCACAGACTGTAACTCATTCGGGCAGCAGCTGCAAGCCAGAGTGATGGATGCCTGCCACCCAAAAGGCACTGACTGATGATGGATACTCAATGCAACGAGAAAGAAGCAACTCTGAAATGGCTTTAAGCAGGTGAGAGACATGAACCCAAGTACGAACATGCAGCTTGCCTAGAATAAGATGTGCCAAAGAGTCATTTGCAGGGAGACCAGGGGCAATGCCGTGATCAGCGAGCTGGATCTTGTCAGTGACCGACCAGCCTCCCTGCTCACTGAGGCTCCATGCAAAATGATCAACAGAAAACACAATAGCAGCTGCTGCTAAGTACACCATGATTGTATTTCTCATCACAGGGTTATTTTATCCCCCATAGGACCAAAAGCATCAGAATCCCCTGTAACTCTTAGAAGCCCTGCCCCTACCTCCTGGCTCTGCTCAGTCTTCCCTGCCCACATGCAAGGCTCTGCTAATTGCTTACAGCAAACGTATCAAGCAAATGTATGTAACAACATAAGATCAAGATCCGTTCTCCATTTCTCTTCCAAGTTCCCTGCTGTATCTTGGTGAGCTGTATAGCTTGTATGCGGACTGCCAGCATCTCTCAGAGCCATGAACACAACCACCCTGCAACAACCGCTTCACAGCAACTGGCAGGTCGCACGCAGGCTGCCGGAGTTGTGCTGTATGCAGACTGCACACTCGCCATGCTGTCACACACCTAACACTTATTTCTCATTATTCAGTTGCCAGCCTCAAGCTTTATCCTATAAACAAGCATGCACGATCTTCCTAGTCCTTTTGCTATTCCTTACAGGCTATAGATACTGTCCCTATAAGCTGGGAAGATGAAGCACAGCTCCCGAGAGCACTGCTGCGAGGGCAAGCATCCACCTCCAAAAACGCACAGCTCTCGCCTGAGCTCCCTTCCCCCTCCTACTGCAGCAATAACCCATTAATATGAATGATGCTTTCCAACGAGCACGGCTTTGTTAAGCATCTGGGCTGCACCGGAGCAGGGCTCTAAATAGTTATATCAAAGCCACCATTAAAACTGCAGCACTGCATAACAGACTGCTGCGGGAGCAGCAAAGTGAAGGGCTCTGCATCTGCATTTCAAACTAACCATTTCCTACCCCAAGGCAGCAGCTATTGCTCCTCAAGATGCAGATGCTGTGAAAGAGGACAGAGTATTTTGAATTTGCTTGCAGATGTGAATGTGCTAGTCACACTAGACTGCAGTTACTTTGAAACATATTTCGGACAAGCCCCACTCCTGGCACAGTCAAAGTACTGCAGGATGGGAGAGCTGGCACACAAGTCACGTCCGCTTCCAAGAACCGGCTCCTCTCCCTCCCCATCTCCCTTATTAAAGTATACGGCTGCTGTCAAAGAAGCTGCAATCTCTGCAGTGCACCTTCTGCAGATACCCTCTTATCGGACGGGGATGCCATGACCCATCTCACAGCTAACATGACTTGCAAAACTTCGCAGAGGACAATGGCCGATTTTCTTGTGCACAGCACCCATCCTCTCAGATGTGCAAAGGGAAAACACACACTTTTCAGGAGGGAAACACTAAGCCACACAGATGTTAAGCTCCAGTTCACTGGGACCCACGGTGGTAAAAGTCTAAACTCCACCGATTTGAGGTCCCTTATGACACAGGGCAGGACCACTATAGGATTTAGGCATCGCAGCTGGGAGCACCACAGTGCCCAAGAGCACCACGTTGGCACAGTGGCACTGGCAGAGCCACGTTCAGCAACACGTTCCCAATCATCTTGGCAAGGAAAGCTCAGATGGGCACTGCTCCCGAGCCCCTGGCTGCTGCCTCCCTCCCACTTTGGTGCCAGGGCACAGCAGCAGAGGTGAATTCACTGGGTGAGCATCACTGTACTGCTAGCCCTAGAGGAAAGAGATTGAAAATACCCATGGAAAGGGCCTATCCTTCACCAGGAACAAGACTCTTGGTCATAAGGTAAACCAAGAGGCTTCTCCTGGGCTCCTCACAGCACCAGGGCAGGAGATGCAGCCCTCCCTCCAGGGTAAGGCCAGCAGGTCCATGCTGCCTCCTCTTTGTTATGGCATCTCTGAGCAAGACCAGGGAGTATGGCACCCACCAACATCTCCCTCCCCTGCCTCTGCCCTGCCCCATTCCCCAAGAGCAGAAACACAAGACAAACTTGACTGGGAAACAAATTCAGTCCAGAGAAATATGGCTGGACATAGAAAACTTGGGTTTTCTCCACAAATAGCAGATAAAAGTCTCAGGAAGAGGCACAGCCTAGGCTCAGGGGATAATTCAGGTATGAGTTTGTGTTTTTCCCAAACCAGCTGCCAGCCCTGCTGAAACAACATTCCTTCTCTGGTACTCCAGACAGCAGATTCCCTACTTAAAATCCTTCCCCAGTCAGTAGCATTTTTCAAAAGATTTTGGCTTTAAGAAACACCCATGTACACCACCTCCATCATGCCTGGCCTTTCATGAGCATTGCTGCAGGCTCAACATCTTCAGCACGACAGCAGGCAGTGTGGTCCGAACAGACCCTCTCTCGGCTCCCCGTCCTCCCCATGACAGCACATTACACCTCTGGGACAGGTCTGAGCCCAGGCTTGGTACCAGGACAGCAGCCACAAGACAGAGAACAGCCACCGCCACCCAGCGACACTCCTCGGGAGGAGGGTCACAGCCCTTGGTTACCACTGCTGTCACAAACGCTTTAGAGACAAAGGAAAATCCTGACAGGAATAGGAAACACCAGTGCATTTAAGCTCTTTATAAAATTAAATCATGCCTTCAGTAATGGCAAAACACAATAGGAGATACATAATCTCCAGAAGCTTAAATCCATAAAATACCATCAGCAAAGCTGCTGTGACTGATAAACTCCCAAAGGGCATACACAGCAGGGACACAAGAGCAAAGCCATTTGGCTCCAAGCCCTACCTCTGAACAGCCTGACAGGCCTTCTGCATACTACCGCTGCACAACAGGCATCCCGGCCCCCCAGTGGGACTATCCCAGGCAGGTGAAGGCTGGAGGAGCCAAATGTCAGGACCAGGGCTACACCCAGTAGAGGTCTGAGGGATGGATGCAGAGGTGTTCAGCCATTCCAAGCTAATACAATCCCTGGTTTCAAGGATTTATTTTTTTTTTCCCCTTAGGAAAAACAGTGCTCTCAGACTTACTGCTCCAGAAGACTGAAGGCTCTCACTAAGCAGTTCAGAAAAACTTACCTTACCTTGACACCACAGTTTAGGGAGAACATGCCTACCTCAGAATCCGATATGGAGACGCGATTGGACTCTATCGTTGGTCTCCTCATTATACGTGGTGATGGCCCTGTGGCATAAGGACCATAACCTGGAGTGTTGCTAGAAGCCAAATAACCTCCTGATGATCTTTCCTGAAGAGACAACTTCCTACTTGATAGGACAGGTCTAGTGAGAGGTCTCTTGGGAACATGCCTCCAGCGAGCATCTTCTGACCGTTGGGAAGGCAGAAGTTCATTCATTCCCACATCACTGTTGACTCCATTTCTTTGGATGTCTTTTACATTATCAGAAAAGACTGTGTCATTTTCTTCAGTGTTGTCTTCACCATTTTGGTCACTTCTGTCTGGGCCAACAGCCACATCTATGGCTGCTACCCGCTCTGCCAGTTCAGTCTGTGTGTCTTTGTAGCATGTGTCTATGCCTCCATCCATAGCATTTGTTGGAGAGTCCCCCATCACTGTGTCCAGCTCGTATGGTCTCAGATGGCACTGCGAAGAGCTGCAATGCTAGCACTCACAAACAGCATGTGGCATGAAGGAATCCCTCCATGAAATACCTAAAAGGAAACACAGAGGTAAATGAATAATGTTCACTCAACAAAAACATACCAAGACACCCATCTCCAGCTTCTTCCAACATAAAAGAAAGTGAAGGCAACACACAGGCAGGATGTAAACAAGTTGCAAACACTCAGAAGGAAAGGCAAACCCAAGTAGAGCTAGATATGAAAGCGATAAAGATGAGATTTTATCTGATATGCAACAAGTGACACAGCTAAAGAGAACTTCTCCTTCTGTAGTTAGACCAGCAGTCAACCAGAGCTTACAACAAAGGGAGAAGTACAGCTTCTTAACAAGCTGAGCATAAAGGGTCAAGCTTTTGACCTCTTGGATTCTTATTTATAGGGTACAAGAGCTTCTGGTATGTATCCAAATCCAACATGCACAGCAGCAAATCCACAGACATTTAGGGCTCCACAGTGGTGTCTCTCTTGCCTTGTGGGGCCCTGGAGAGTGTCTGAAAGCCAAGCCACAGCTGGTGACTTCCACGTTCTCATTTATTTGCAACATAGTGAACAGCAAAGGCAGAATTTAGAGGCAAGTCTGGTTCCAGGCTTGCCCCTGGCACCCCACAGTTGCAGCCTGTGTGCAAATACACATTAACCTTGCTGCCCACCATGTCTAAAAGCTACATTGAGTTGCAAATCAACAACGCTTAATGATTACCAGCATGTGGAAATCAGCTTTTCCTTTGGAAAAGACCTACAGAACACAAAAATGTAATACAAAGCTAAAACTGCTAAATAAATCACTGTTTCCTGGATGTTAGTTTCAGTCTCAATTTAAAACAGATTTCAGTCTTCCCAGCACAGTCCAGAGCAGGAAACAATCCTCTCCAGCACATGGCTGTCATCCCTTAACTACCTCTGAAGATGCAGTGCTGCAGGATCCACCACGTCATCCCTCTGCCCAGTGGTTTTTGTTTTGTTGGGTTTTTTTTTTGGGGGGGGGGGAAGAGAACTTTGTTTTAGTCACAGCATCCTGGACAGCATCCAGTGAATTTCAGTGTAGGTTTAACTCTGAACTACTGCAACCTTTGATTCTCTACATGCAAAGCAGATCGTGCATAAAAATCCCTGCAAGCCAGGTGACACTTGCATCGCCCTGTTTTCACGCTGGTGACATTTAATTTACATGAGGAAGGGTGGGAGTGAGTGAGTTCAAAAAGCCCCATCCAGCATCAGCCGGGGAACACACATGACACCCTCATCGAGGAGCATGGAGCAAAGGCTGAGCCTGGCTCAAAGCTGCCCAACAACACTCAGTTAAACACACTACAGCTGAACTCTGCTGCAAAAAGAGACAACCTCTCAAGTTCTCTGCAGAAGCGCACCAGCCAAGCTCAAGCCATCTTTTGTATCAATAAGGAAACTAGAGAAAAATCTGGATGGGAGGCTTCACCCTAGGTTGTGTGCCAATCACAGGGGGCACACGCTGGGCATGCAGCGTCACAGAAAGGAAGCATCCAAATCCACCACGTTCTTCCCCGCAGCCTGCTGTTCATCTCCTTCCCCTCCGTCTCCACTCAGGTATAATCTTCCCCCCTTCTCCTGCCTTTTCTGCAGGCTTGTTTGAAACAAATTGACAGAAGTGTCATTCGCTCAAAACAGTAATGAAATGGTGAGATCAGCTTTAAAAGCTTCTACTACCACTATATTTATACCTTTCAAATTCCAAAGCACAAATCCCTTTCAGAGCCAGGATGCAGGCAACAGGGGGTGGCCCACAGCAGCGAGGGAAGGGGTGTAGGGTTCAGTCCAGCATATACCACACATGGTCCCACAAACCCACAGGCAAAGCAGCACAAGCTTCCCTGCTCTGCTAGATCCCCCTGCTCTCCCACACCCCCAAAACCAGGCTTCAAACTAGAGAGCCAGTGGCAGCTCTGCACTGGCTCAGCCATAGCCCTGTCCTTCAAAACAGTTTTGCAGGAAGGCCGCAGAGGGCTTGCTGTCTGCAAAATGCTCGTTTGCACTTGGAAAGCTTCTGACCTGACCTAGGAGCATCAGGTCAGGGCAACCGCAAGCGTGCAGCCACCCTGCTGTCTCTGAAGAGGCTTTCCCTGCACTCCAGAGCCTGCGGAGCAGCACATTTTGTGACACTTGCAAGGACTCCTCATGGGATGCCTGCACACTTGGCTTTGGGTGAAGGTCGGCACCTCATCCCCTGGGAAGCACAGAGCAGCCTCCAGCCCTGCCTGCAGGGCAGCAGCTTCCCATGGCCACTTTGCATGGCCAAGAGAGCTCCAGCCCACATCTCCATCATCGGCGGCCACCCTCTGCGCTGCTGCAGCTGGGCTGCAGCTCTCCTTGCAGTCCAGTGCTCCAGCCTGCGTGCTGCCTTCCATCAGGGAAACTATGTTAAATGAAGGGAAGGAGGGAGGGGAGTAAAAAGGCTTTCACCATTTAATCCAGCTCACACAAGGGGATAGGAGGAAACCTCCGATTCTACCCTGAATTAAAAGCCTGGCTTTGCTCTTCTGCCTACAGAAACAAACTCAAGGCCTTTCCTCGCAGCAGCTTTAGCTTCTGGACAGTCACAGCTCATCTCACTCCTAGGGAGCATCAAGAGGAAAATCAACCTGTGACTGAAGTCTCCAGCTCCCCCACCTTCTTCCATGAGGTTTTCTGCACGTGCTGGAGCGAGGGGAGGGAAGCATCTGCCTGTGTTGCTGTGTGGCTGTCTGTGAAAACCCACAAACCACCCACCTGGACTGAACACTTGGGTGTCTCACACACATCCTCAGTGCTCAGCCAGGAAAAAAAAAAAAGCCAGAAGCGCTAGGAATGGCAGTCAGGTCCCAGCAAACAGCGATGCTTGTGTTAGCCGCCTGTGCAGCTCTTCACTGCCCAGAGCAGGCACCTACAGGGTGTCACCCCCTCAAAAGCAGCAGAACACACTTGCACAGCTCTAACCCACTACTCAGGCTACAAAATAAATCTTCAGCTAATTGACCAGTTAAATAGATAAACTTAAGATAAATCCCATAAATCAGTTCATCCGATCAAAACAAATAGACCCATACAGCATCACAACAAATAATACACTGCTGCTAAAAGTAGGCTAAAATAATCCAGCAAGACCTAAATAAAATAATCGTTCATCAGTAGAGCTGGGCTTTGTTTCAGATTCTGCTGTTTTGAAGGATTCTTTTTGAATGATAAATCCTCCAAAACTATATTGGAAAGCAATGGTTTCTGAATAAGCAAATCAGTTATGCACAGACCAGTCTTACTGTACATAAAACTCAGTACAAAAGGCAATTATTTATTTCTGCAAGGCAAAAATCAGTTGTGGATTTGCCGTTTGTCAGGCTGTAACACGACTGCACCTTGTTGTGATGGGAAATCCCAGCGAAACAGAGACACTACCACTACCTTGTACAAGCTCCTGCGCAGCTTTGGGCCCAGTGCTCTTCTCTGGGTCATCAGCCTGATGCCCCCAACCTGCTGTAGATCAGAGGATTATGCTGCAGACATGAACTAAAGCTGCAAACAAGCTTATACGAGCAAAATTAATTTACTTACGCATATCTTATTTACCATTTTTCCCTGTAGCTATTCCTCTGCTGCAGGCAGACTGCCACTTCAACAGTCTTTTCCACAATATATTTATCAAATGGCTGCACATATTTCCCAGACAGGCGCTGAGCACAGTACAAAATACCCTTTTGAAAAGAATATGATTCTGGAGAAAATCTCTCTGTATTGTATGTGGGAGCAGGAGATGAGCAAATGCAATTAATTTTGCTGCTCAATAAAGTATTTCAAAGCATTGTTTGAAAAATAAAAAATCGTAAATATAGTTTACTGCTTTGTCCTTCCATTTGGCTAACTAGAATGTTCCTATGAGGGAGGATGGGGAGGTAAAAGGCCCTGGGTCTCAGCAAATCCAGCTTCATTTCCTGATTTTGCTACAGGCTACCCAGAAAAGTGACTTTACAGCTTCATCTGTCACAGTTCCCAGGTTAAGAGGAATGATGCTGCCCTCAGCCCACCTTGTCCTGCTTCCCCTTTCTATCTCTGAGAACACATCTGCCCCGCGCTGAGGCATCAAGGGCCTTTGCAGTAAAGTAAGTCGCGGTGAATAATAACTATAACAAGCATTTGCATGGAAAGCATTCAGGCAGCAATTTTGCTGCTGCTCAGAGTTGGAGACTTCTTCAAATGCCTGTGGATGGCATCCTCTGTGCCAGCATGGGGGCTGGCAGGGATGCCACTCTGAAAACTGTTTGAAGGCCATGTCCATGAGGTGCCTCTTGACGCCACAAGACCCACAGGCACTCTCAAAGAGAGGTCCCAAAGATCAGTGAAGGCTTTAGTATGCCACTTTAATATACACTAGCAAGGTCAGGAAACAGGCCAAGTTTTCTAAATGGTACAGGCAGCCCCATACCAGGACAGGCTGCCTGCAGAGGGGATGTCATCTCCATCACCAGCTTCCTTCAGCTCAGGTCAGACCCCCCACCAGGAATTCAGTCCTGCCTTGGGGCAGAGCTGGGCTGCACATCCAGCCCTATCTTGTATCACCCTTAGCTTGTGTTGTGTTTCCTTCAGATGCTCCCCCACAGCAGCACAGCCAGGATGAAGGATCTGCTCTGACTGCTGTCAACCGGCACCAAAAACTCCCTTTAAGGAGAGAAGCAGCAAGTCTTGAGCTGGGCTGCCAAGTCCTGAAGAGCTCCTCGAATGACATTTTTGAAATATTAGGTCAGCAAGTCCCTTCTAGAGCCTGAGATGTCTCCCTGCACCAAGCAATACAGCCTATGACTATTTCCATCCTGGATTCTCTCCTGTGCTCCCTGATCTGCAGCTGGATCTGCGGGACTTCCCCAAGTACTCAGCATTAGTCCACTACCCTGACATAAGGCAAGTGTTTCCACACCCCCCACCTTCACCCCGTCAACTTCTTATACACAGGGGAGGCACTTGCCTGACGTCTAGCCAGCTTGCTCTAACACCCTCAGTCTGGAGAAGCTTAAGGGGGACTTCTGTCC